AATTTATATCTTTACGTCCTCATTTTAAATGTGCAGTTTTAAAAAAACTTGAATGATTCTCTGTGGTTTGTACTTAAAATCAGACTATCATGTCAGGGTGCGGGAGCCACAAAAAAAAAGGTACTGACCTAAGTGAGAGTTGAAGATATAATAGTAAATTTGGACACATTGGACTAAATAATTCAGAATCTGAAGTCTGCAGTTTTAGCATTTGAGCTCAGTTACTGTCATTAATTCTTTTATGAACTTTAAAATATAACTGTAAGATTTCTTTGGCACCAGTGAGATATTCCTGTCTTTTATGGATTACACAGGCATATTAAAAATAATGTTCAACATTAATGTTCAAAGCACTCTCTTGATTTAATCCCATTTACTGTGATTTTATTGTCAATTTTTTACTGAGTTTATGTTGGTTTATAGTTCAGCCTTTCAGAAACAATAGCTGGTTTCCTAGCACAGAACTGAGACCAAACTTGTTGTCCTATTGCGTATGACTCCAGCAGCAGTTTTATTTTACATTGCATTTTTTTAAGTTGTTCTCTATGCTTCGTTGAATCTTGCAGCGATTTTAGTGCTTATTTTAAGGCTTTAAAAAAAAATTTCCTTTGTTAAACACTTCCCTTTTTAATTAATTCCGGTTAGAATTTCACAGCAATTTTTTACTGTGCGCTGAAGCACATCATGTTAAAAGATGCACATAAGCAAGAACATTTCTTTGCCATGTCTCTCTAGTGATACGAACTCTAAGAATGCTTCCCATTGGAACTTTCTTGAATCATTTTACAAGCAACTTAAATATCACACACGTTTTACACAAGTGACGAAAAACACAAAGGACTGACATGATTCAACTGCACTAACTACAGAAAGTGGGTCTTCTCTGGTCTAGACCGACCATCAGCATCTAGACCAAATTTTCATAGATACCACATCAGCTTTGTGAATATAATAAAACAAAACTGGTGATATGAATACAGTCTTATCAACCAGTTCCTCTGGAATGCTATTCACAAGCTCCCTCTCTGATCTGTAAAACTTTACCTGTTCAGTAGGAGGTTTGGGGAGTTTCGTCTGGTTGGTGTTTTGGTTTTATTTCTTTTAAAGCAATTAAATCGTTCAGTAGTTCAATAGTGGCTCTCCTGTGTGCGCACATACAGGAGGTCTTCATGCTGAAAAGGCGGTTGGCTGCAAGGAGGTTTTAATGTAGTGACTCGCTTTGCTGATGTCTAGCTGGATCCAGCATAACAGTTTGAGGAATGCTAACTCCTCAGCACCCCTCACTAATGTAATTCTGTAAAAATATCCCAGGAAAGGTTTAAACAATTTTTGACATTTTAAATTCTTGAAAAATTAAACCTCTTTTGTTTTCTGCCATTTTTACATACAGTCACTCCCTTAAGTGCAGTTTGGAGATTTTAGTCCAAAATGTGCATCTGTTGCCTAAGAGAGAAATATCATTCAACAACATAGACATTGTTTCTGAATATGGACTATTGCTAGATACCGGATTTTAAAGAACAAATCAACTGAAAAATGGTGAAGAGTTCTTCTAACAGAAATGTCATATTCTGTTTTCATCTTTCAGCTTTTTACTTTTTGTCATTCTGTCATTTAAAGTATAAATAACCCAGGGCAGAGGCCTTTCAGTCATGTGTTTGGAGTTCTGCCTTCAATTCTTGTGCAACATAAATGTATACCCATAACGTTCAAGTAGAATCACAGCATCATAGAATAGTTATGGGTTGGAAGGGATAAAGTTAATTTGGTTCCAGCTCCCCATACCCTGCTATAGGCAGGGACACCTTCCACTAGACCAGGTTGCTCAGAGCTCCATCCAACATGGCCTTGGACACTTCTAGAGGTGGGACATCCACAGCTTCTCTGAACAACCTGTTCCAGTGCCTCACCACCTTCACAATAAAAAACGTCTTCCTTTTATCTAATCTAAACCTACGCTGTTTCAGTTTAAAGCCATTACACCTTGTCCTATCGCTACATGCTTTTGTAAAAAACCCCTCTCCAGCTTTCTTGTTAGCCCTTTTTAAATACTGGAAGGTGCTATAGTGTCTCACTACAGCTTTCTCTTCTCCAGGCTGAACAACCTCTATTTTCTCAGCCAGTCCTCATAGGAAACATGCTCCTGCTCTCTGATCACCTTTATGGCCCTCCTCTGGACTTGCTTCTACACACATGGCAAACTTTTTCAAATGGGACTTTTTCTAAGTAGTTTTAGTCTTTACATTGGCATTGTTCCCAGCTTATGGTTGAGAGGTTCCAGTGTAGTTGACTACACTATGCACTTTAAAGAGGAAGGCAAAAAAGGTCAAGTTGTTCATAAAATCATTAGTGAAATGTCAGAAACAATTTAGTCTAAAAAAAATATTTCACTGAAGATAAGAAGTACCCATTATAAACCTTCCTTCCAACTACATTTCTATGCTATTGAATTCATCAGATAAGAATTGGACAGTTGACAAAAATGAAATGCCAGTATGTAAGAATAGTTTCTCTGTAAAAGCAAAGGAGAAAAGAAGGGTTTGATTCTGGGAGAAGGTCAAGGCTTAGTTTTGTTTGAAATATAAACTCAGACTGAAACTAGTTTCACAGAGTTTCTCATTGTGGCCCCAAATTTAGTTTGAGATTAAAATTAACAGGTAGCAGGTTATAAATAAGGTCAATATGTTTGCACTTTACTGTAATAGTAGCAAGTGTGAAAGTTTCCCAGCGGTTTGCCTCACTGAGTCTTACTTAACAATGGAACAATTTGAGAATAGGATTAACCCCTTTTCTAGCTTTTTTCCTTTTCTTTGGAAAGGATGTTTGCAGTCCACTGCTCTATCTCTTGTCCTTCAACCCAAACACATTCTGTTCTGAGGAAGCAGAAAGGAATCCATCCTGCACCAGTGTCAGAGTGTGGTGACCTGTAATACAAAAGAAGGAGCAATTGATGCAGACTAAGTCCAGTGAGGGAAGCAGAACTTGATGTGGGAGAGCTATGAAGCCTTTGGCAAGGCTCAAATTTTTATTTTTAATATGGTAAAATACAGCTGTTGAGACTGACTTGATCTCAAAGGTCTTTATAATTCAGATGAGTATGACTACTTCAGGTTATTTTAAAAACATGAGCTGCAGATTTCCCCTGGTTTTCAGAGCCAAGGAAGATTGATGTTTGCAGTTCTGTTGTGCCTAAATATTCTGAATGAATAAAATATTTGGCCCTGGTTAAAAGGATTGGATGGATGGCCCTCATCTTTTCCTCTTTGATAACGAATTTGGTCATTAATAGCTCTGGGACTCATAATATGACTGAAGTATTAAAGAACCTCCTAGTTTCGGGAACTCAGTTTAACAGAGATTCTTATTTGAGAGATTCTGAGACTGTAAATCTTGAATGACAAAAAATGTGGTTTCTGTTTAGATTAGTGTTTGAATAATTTCATTATTATTATTATTCTATTAAGCGACAAAACCTAATTTGAGACTGGGGTAAAGTAGTGTTTATAGAGCTTTGGCTTCATTTATAGTATGCACAGTTCTCACTGAATTAGCTTTCCAAATCCAGCTGGTAATTATTAACAGTGGCTGATGCATTTATGATTCAATTATAGAGTATTTAATTAATATACCTAACAAATGTTTTGTTGTATTGAGAAAGCTTTATTTTGTTGACATTGGCTATTAGAACAAAGGGATTGACATGATGGATCTTAGAAAGTGCATGCTCTAGACACTCCTGTTAAGTCCTGGCAAGATCAAGTATGCTTCAACAGTATTTCAGAAGGCAAAATATAATGCAACAGGAGGTTCTATGCCCTAGTACAGCAAGGATCATAAAGCTCAAAATGCATTCAGATGCTTTGAAAGTTTATCCTTTTTAGAAATTTTTTTTTAAAAGTTTCATGTTTACAAATGAACTGGCTCTTTCCCTGCCTTGACTGTGGGTGGTTATCAGGGCTTCAGAACTCCAGTGTGCTCTTAGATGCAACTTACTCACAGTTCCTTGAAACTGCCATTATGTATTGGGCTGCTGCTCAATCCTGATGCTTTTCCTTGCAAACACTCTGTTTAATTGATTTTTTAATAACAAGGCTAGAATTCTAAAAAGTGAACCCAAACCTCTGCCTTCTGAGTTAATTTCTGCTGTCATCTGCTCCAACATGCAGATTTATGATGAGATTTATTGACAGGAGAATATGTGGTCCTTCATTCATTCCTCACTTAATGAATATTAACTTATTTGATCAAGAAATCATATGTCACTTCACAAAACTATCCATTTCATTATTAGTGTGCTGTTCAGACAGATCTTAGACACAGTGCTGCCACAATTTTTCTCATTGAAATCAAAAGGAACCCTACTACATAAACAATAGCTAATATTTCATTAAACAATTTATACCAGCCGGGATCTTTTTATTATAATGAAATGTGTACCTTGATGTGACATAATACAAATGCACTGATCATTTTATACTTCCATGACACAAAGAGCAATGTGTCGCTGGTTCGGTAACAAATGAAGATCTTTCTAACCAATTTACTGCAGCTTTGCATATTTTGATGGATAGCTACAATTCAAAGGAAAAATTGTGGGTTACAAAACTGCTGAGCTGGAATTTAGGACGTTCGTCTCCCACAAACTTGGAAGAAAACTAGGTCATTACTGTACTTGCATTTCTATGTACACAGTTTTCCATAGGTGTATTATATACTCTGTTACTCACATTTGGATTTTCTTTGGAATCAGGTATTACAAAATGAAAGCCTCAAGACCACCCAGACTGGCATTCAGTTCATCAGAATATCAAATTAAACCAGGTTTAAGCAAGTTCTCCCAGAATCGAGGCAGAGGAGACAAGTAATTTTAATAAAAAATCTATTTACTTTGTTTATATAGAAGAACAGAATCTAATTTATTTGTGTGTCCATCTGGACTAGATTGCTCATTTTAAGTTAATTTAACAAATGATGGACTGCTACCGGCCTTTTTTTCCCAGGAGAAGAGGTTGATAGACAGCTGTGTAGAGATGCCATCTACCCAATCCCAGTTGCCTGTGAAGCTCCATGCCCAAAGGACTGTGTGCTCAGCATGTGGTCTGCATGGTCCTCCTGCTCACACACCTGCTCCGGCAAAACCACAGAAGGGAAGCAGATGCGCGCCCGCTCCATTCTGGCGTACGCAGGTGAAGGTAAGGTCGCATTCCCTTGCAGGCTCTGGTTTGACTGTGAATTCTCAACTGTCTTTGTAAATGGCAAAGTAATTTCTCGATCTACAGAAGCAAATTATTAGATGGGGTTGTGGTTTTTTTTACATATAGAAAAATTATTTAAATACTTATTCTGTGTTACTCCTGGTACCTGAAGGTGTTTTAAAGAGGAGATTTTATTTTGCTCATGTCAGTTAATGGTGCTATTTTTTATTATTCTGCATAATGTTACCATTTCTGTTTCAAATACATGGTTTTCTTGTTTTCTATTAAAATTAAACATGGCAAATGGTTTATCCGATACCTCCTTACATGTAACTTATGTTACCCCATAAAACATTTTTATTCATAGCAGGACTTTGGTTTTGCTGTGCAAGTCCTCACTCGTAAATGGTTTGCATTCATGCAAATGGTCCTTCTGCAGCAAATGCAGAGAGAAGACAGCTGGAATATAAAGGAGAAGAAGAAAAAGGTTTTAGATATGGGCTAATATCTATTCTTTGATGATTTCCCATGCCTCCTACAATGAGTTTTGTTTTGGTTTTAATTACCAGGGAGGGGAGGGTTGTGGACTGTAGAAAAAATATATTCTATATGTGAGATGGTTCTAACGTCAGGTGTGCAAGGGTCCAACTGATAAAATGCCTTGTGCAACACTGGGAGCCAGGAGACATAGCCACCAAGGAGTACTTAGAAGATGTTTGCTCACGTATATTACTGACAGAAAAGTTAAATGCCGTCAATATAAAGGATCAGATGGATGTGTTAGTTCTTCTTTAAAACTGTTCAGCATTTTATAACTTTATATTAAGATAAAATTTAGCTGAAAAGTGAAAGCTGTAATATATGGAAACAGCAAAATAGAACATCTGTACACAGCTATATGCAGACAAAGGTAACACCGTTGCTAAAAGTGTGCAGTGTATTTGACCGAATTTGGGTGATTGTAAAAAGAAAAAAAAAAAGTAGCAGAGCATTTCCCTGAAATGAACCCTTAGTAGAAGTGTAAGAAGCAATCAGAACTCTATTTTAGTAGATGATTCAAATAGTGAGTTGCTTGGATGGATCTATGTAACAAAGTAGAAACTCTTTTAAAATTAGAAACAAAATTTGGTTTATGTTGTCCTTGTTGTTTGTTTGTTTCATTTTATAGTGTGTCAAATGGACTCATTGCAAGGGAAACAAAGAGCCAGTTAATTCAAATAAACTTATATTCACATGTTTCATGCTTTTCCATGTAGGTCAAGGCAATAGATTTTTGATACACTTTTGCAGTTTTACTGGAGACAGAAATTTAAATTCCTGAAAAGCATGTCACAGAAGTGAAAACCTAAGTTACTAAAAAAATTATTCCACTTTCTTATGCTTCTTCTTAAAAAGTACTCTTTTTATTCTGACTTTGACACTTAATACAACCTAGGTTAATTTACAAAGCTGCAGATGCAGCAAAACCATTCAGCATAGCCTGGATTTTAGGTATGTGAATTTTGCACGTTTGTTGTGCAATGATCAGAATCAGCACAGAGTGATCACAAAGATTGACACGTAAGTAGTAGTGAAAAGATCCTTAAACTAATGCTGAGAAAGCTAACTCATTACCTGGGTGTTATGGTGCTTCAGTTTGTTCACACCCTGGCCTCATTACCACTATTCTGAGATGAGGTTATTCCTTGCATTTTTTTAAGGATACAAGCTAGTATGTCTATATAGCTTATAGCACTTCACTCACATGTTGAACAGATCTCTTCAACACTGTGCTCTTTTGCACTCTGTACAAACTCCAGAGAATGGAAGTATATAAATATTCCAAAGCTTAGCATATTGTTACAACTCTCTAGCTGGAAGGTACTTTTCACCTTTTCTTGTATTATATTCAAAATGTATCAGTTTAACTGATATTTTTTATGCTTCACTGGAATTAGAGTTATTGTCATCTTTCTCCTCACATGTCTCTTATGCCTTTTAGTCATTTGCTACAAGACAAATAACTGAATGACTTTTCACCTCCAGAATTGCCAGATCAGCCATGTTCCCAAAACATAAAACACTGATTGGTGTAGTTGGTGCTGGGAGGTCATTTTATGTTCTAGGGGTACAGGATATACTCACATATCTGAACATCTGCATTCTACTGATATAAAAAGGAAGCCTCACATGAACATTCTTTGGCAAAATACAGTTCTCAGTTCTATTCATAACTTAGGAAAGAAGCACAATACTGTAGATGAAAACTCTGTAAGCATCATGTATAACTAAAATGCTCAGTTCTCATAAATGTAAGACCAATATTCCATTTACACGTTAAAACTGGGTTCTGAAAACAGCTGTCAGTACTGTTCAGGTGAACAGTCCCACAGATGTTTTCTTTTGGATTTTTGAACCTGTCCTAGACCTGTAGGTATGAGAGACAGACCAGGATAGGTAAGCGATTTCATAGTAATTTCTGTGTAATGTAGCCATGATATCTGAGAGTTTTTATGCAGAACACAATAGGACTAATATATTGTACATAAATATATACTATTCCTAATATATGTCAGGATTGGATATTAATTAATGAAAGAATGTACAAGGCTGTTGCCAATCTATGAACAAGAGTAAACTTGTCTTCTAAGATGACATAAGGGGTCCACATTTATCAGTGTAAGTCCTTGATCACACACATCTTCCTGCTAATCAAGGAGAATTCAATCCACAAGCATAGGAAGATCAAAGCATTGCAGGCATTACATACACAAGGAATACTGCAAACCCTCAGACTATCTGAAGCACCTAATTTCTGTTCATTTGGGTACTAAAACATGAAAATCCCACTGAAACTTTTGAGGATCTTTAAGTACATGTGAAATAGATTCTTTTACCTGGATCTCAGGTGGTTTCTTATTAAGTATTGCTGTGGTTGTTCAGCTTCTCTCTTCTCTGAAATAAAAAATACTAAATGCTGTGATTTTGCTTGTTAATGTTGGCAGATGACTGCCTGTAATAGAGCTGTGTCATTTCACACACAAGAAATTATTTTCCTTATTATTTCCCAGCTATCTGTGCTGCTGATTGGTTTGAAGAAACCATCAAGTTAGCATAAGTGGCCACCAGGAAACTGCCACAGTATAATCAGTTTCTTTGGATGACTTAGAATATGAATAATTCAGTAGTATTATAATAATTCCTCAGTGGCAAGAATAACTTCACAGGAAAAATATAAGCTGTATGTAAATTACAATAGTGACAAAGTTTTCTAATGAGCTCTGGGATACCAACTGCCCCTCCAGCACTGCACTGACTTCTGCTTGAGCCAGGAGCTGACCTCAGTTGTACACCCTCTCATCATCATTTTGTCACTCAGAACAAGACCTCTTCCTTATGGTCAAACCACACACTGCAGAGCCTCAAGCACGGTGTGGTCATGCACAGCTGGGATGGGCTTATTTTACTTGCATTCTGTGGAGAGAGGGAGTCTCTTTTCTCAAGATAAAGACTTACTGTGGTTTGTGAGATGATTCCATGTGGAAATGGGTGTCACAATAATCATTTTTGATATCTTTTCTGAGATCATTGTCCTCAGCTTGAAGGTTTGAAAGGCGAAGTGATTTATAAATTTGCCTGTCTGTGAGCCTGCCTATAGTGGTCACTAATTTGTGTCACTGTCAAATATATCTTCATGGTACAGTAAGAAACTCGGGAAAGTCATTGTCTCAAAATATAAAATGACAGCAAAGGACACAGTGATGTTACCTGATACATCCTGTAGTTATTCTGCATAAAACTAGTACAGCCATCCTATACAGCTCAGCCTATCCTGTAAGATTGTCTATTTTTGTTTTATATTCTGTTTAATATTTCTGTTCTTTTTTTATTTCCTGCTTACAATAAATCTTTTATAATTAGTAATATACACTAGGACTACTTCACCTAACTACTAAACCTGAGACTTAAAAATTACTAAATGAATCTTAGTTTTTCAGTAAGAAGTATTTATGCAGATTGACTCTGTATTGATTATACACTGCCATAGATTGACACTGTCAGAGAGCGTAATACTAATGTTTTGGATACAGTCCAAGTTTTATTAGTAATACCAATTTTGGAAAAGTAAGGATTTAAAAACAAACAACCAAAAAACCACAATTCAAATGCAAAGAGAAAAATAATCTGATTTAAAAGCTTAATTTAATAAAATGAGAGTGAAGGGCAATTTTGTTCTACATATTTTCTTAGGGCAGGGATGCATGTCTATGGCACTGTCTTTCTCTGGCTATTGTATGCTCATAGATTAGCAAAGTATAATGCCAGAAGGACTATTTAGTGTGACCTCATATATCACAAACTATTAAACGTCACTGAGTTAGATAGTATAGAATATCAGTTGTCCATCTCTTCAGATATACTGTTTGTCAAGGACCTATAGCTCTTACTTCTCATATATCTGCAAGATTGATTTACTGGATATGTAAGGAATAGCTGGACCAAAGGAGTTTTTAATTTTTGTATTTTCCTGGCTTGAAATAACAGTGCTTGGTAATTAAATGTGAAAGCATAGAACTGAGTAATTGTTTTCCCAGCAAAATTGCTCAGTCACTAAAGAACAAGTTTTGGAGAACATGGATTTTCTCAAGAAACTGGAATAAAAAAAATTACTTAGTTTTGGAACTGTGGAACATGGATTTTCAGGCAAGACTTACAAAGTGACCTGGTACCTGTGTGTGATGGTGAGATGGGGCAGAGGATGTTATTGTGCTTTTCCATTTCTTCAGGAACCCATCAGCTCAAATTCCTGATAGTATTGTGGTGTCTGGGTTCAAATCCTGTCCATGAAAAGACTTGGGGACAGACCTCTCATTTCCCATGGGTACACTCTGTCTCCTGTCCTGTTGTGTATTGTAGGACAGGTCTGCTTGGTTTGTGTAACTGATGCAGCAGGTGGGGAAGCGTCAATGTTTGCAGTACTGGAAAAGTCTTGGTTCTGACTATGTCTGTCTTTTTGGTACTGCCAAGCAGCTGTTTACTGTCATCTGATCATGTGTTGTTAAGGATTGTATTTATTATTGTATGTTCCTTTTTCACATATTCTGATGAAATCAAATGACTTTTATTTTTTTCTGTGATACTCATTAACTTTTATATTTCTGTCAAACCTGTCCCCTTTTGGGGATATGTTCCTAAAGTCAAGCAACCATGATCTCATTACCCCTACACAGATGTTATAAAAGCATCTCTAACTGCCAGTTTTCCAACCACTTCTGCTTATTCTGTACCCATTTAAATTTGAGTGAGCACAAGGGAATGCTGTTTTCCTGGAGAGAATGGTATTTCAATTTATAAATAAATAGTTGGGAGGTTGGGGATTATTACAGTATTTGGTACTAGCGATAGTTGGTTTTTATTTTAGTAATATTATTTCCACATTTTATTCAGTCTTTACATGCTTTTAACTCCTAGTTTAATCTGAACAGAACTGAACTCCCACTGAGCTGAAGACATTCATGCCCCAATGTTTTTCATTTACAAGTCAATGTCACTCTCATTTTTTCCCTGAATATACATTCTTGCATAGCTGTCAAAACTGAACCTAAGTTGTCACTTTATTCTCAAATGCCCTAGGAACTGTTGGCTGTGGCATCCAATTCTGGAGGAACATTTCTTCCCCCCCACAACCCCCTTTAATATATTACTTTCCTTAAATATTTCCCTTATATTTCTTCTTGAGTTAACATCAGATGAAAATAATTAGTAACCTTCCTTATGTCTTTTAAGTTTTCCTTTTTTAACCCTATTGCTGGGCAAATTTGTCTAGACTTCTCCCATGGATCTATTTTCTATTCCATGACAAATAATTTGTGACTGTTTATTTTTTCTTTTCAAAACACACTCACTTTCCTAATTTCCTTGCTAATATTCCTATCTGCTGTTGTTATTTTGAAATTTTTTTCTTTCCTGAACAATGCTAACTACATAACTTTTTGAAACTTATTACGTAAACATAATTTCATTTTACTATTTGGGTTTTTTATTTCCTTTTTTCAGAGAAATGCATCTGGTGTTTTGTCTTGATGTTTTGCTGATACATATTTTAAGCAATTCTGATGGACTTCAGTTGCATCCATTCCAAAACAAAATAAAATTGACTGAAGTTATTCTTTAATTACATTCACAGATTTGTAGGTTTTTCTAATCCCCTTTTGCAAAATTTAAGATTAGCTAGTCTGTGACAAAACATCTCAATTAATATAATGTTTACTGTTGCTTGCTTGCATCTATATTTTTAGCCCAAAGACAGAAGTTAGAAATATCTCTAGGGAAAAATGTCAGAATTTGGATTTTATGTTGTGGCTTCATTAGAATGGACTTTTCCTCAAGTTTGCTGCAAATCTAGTCATCCTGAAAATGCAACTTGAGATATAAAGTATTTTTGTGCTAGTGATTTGACTTGTGTTGAGTATTAGAAGGATCCATTGTTTCTTTGGTTACATTTAGGTTTTTGTTAAATTTTTCCCAATAGTGACTGCTTGAAACCCCTTCTCTCTTGCATGTCTGTAGAGCAGGAAGTCAACCTCAAGTTCAGGGCTGGGATATAAAGTCTATTAATATACTCTCCAACATGCATTTGGTGTGAGCATACGTATTTCTTTTTAGAGAAGTCATATGGCTCATCTGCATTAACTAATAAAAAGCTCCTCTTTCAGTTGCCTTTGTTACTTTTCCTGGCTTTTGGGAAAGGCTGAAATGTTATTTAGACTTTTTCCTGCCTTTCCATCAGTTGGAAATAGGACTCCTATTGTTCTTTGTAGGCCACAAATGCTTAAGTTAATTCTTAAGCTTAGATTCTGCATGTCTAGCAGACATGCTGTCTACTCACAGGGCTGGACATTAGTAGCCTGTGATCAAGTCTAATAGGAAAAACCACTTCTCGTGGAGGACTCTGGGAGGCCAGAGTGACTTGAAGTGCTTGAATATAATAAACTACGCATACTATCTGAAACCAAACACAACAAAGATAGCATTATCTGAGCTTTTCTTCACAATTATTGACACTTCAATGCATTTTAATCTTAACCTGCAACAGCCTTTGTTATCTCAATCTGGACCTGAAATTGCCAGCTGTGCCATCCTCTTTGGTAATTATATAACATGGATAAGCATCCACTGGGAGCTAGGACAAGAGCTCCAAAAATCTTTTTAATTGATCTGTGAATTAGACATAAACAGTGGTCTTTACACATGCATAACTAGAATAATTAACCATTTCTTCTGCCTAAAGCCTTCATATGTCCTTATGTGATCTCTTGTAGTCCCTTCTAGAGAACCTCAAAATAGTAAGGCTGTAGATTACTCCAAGTACATTAATGTGTCGTAGAAGTTATGATTATTTTGGCATCCTTATGGTGCAGATTTACATACTGTCCATGAACAGTCTGTTCTGTGTGGTCTGTTGACTAAAATTTGTCAAAGTCAATACTGAGCATATGAAGAGGAGGAAAAGAAAAACAGCATTTCTTTCATGTATTAAAACTGATAACGTGTAACTAATGTGAGTTCAAAGTGGGTTCATGGGGTTGTTTTAAAGTTAAAAAATATCTCCTTCCACTGAATGAATTTTTGCACTCTTTTATTGTTCCAGGAGGAATACAGTGCCCAAATATCAGTGCCCTACAGGAAATGCGCAGCTGTAACGAGCACTCCTGCACTGTGTATCACTGGCAAACCGGCCCGTGGGGACAGTGCATAGAGGACACGTCTGTCTCTGCTTTCAACTCCTCTGCCAGCTGGAACGGGGAGGCCACCTGTTCCGTGGGGATGCAGACAAGAAAGGTCATCTGCGTGAGAGTCAACGTGGGACAAGTGGGCCCAAAAAAGTAAAGATCTTTAAAAATATCTTCATGCTGTAATTATCTTTGGATTTTGCTGCTTTATATTTTTATCACCAACGACTACATGCAAAGACAAAAAGACCCTGTTCTTTCTCATGAGTGTTCTCACAGGTGAACACTTCATCTTCTAAAAATACAAAACTGGTGCAACAGGAAGACTAGACGATACCTTTCTCACTATTGATTTTTATGGAGGGTATTTGCAATGGTGATTCTGCTGACTAAATCCAGTTGACTCCTTGCCATTGTCAGGTTGAGCTGAAATACAATTCATAGGGTATGTGTGTGACATGCAGAGCAGCATCATTCCAAAGATCCTTGTGGTACCTCCAATGCCCTGACTGGGCATTAATTTGAAACATTAGTTTAAACATTAGCTAGACAACCTCTGTGATTTTTTTCCCCCATATATATAGTTTTTTAAGTGATCCTTTTGGCCCACTAATTTAATTTTAGAGTTTAATGTATGACCGGGGTCAAATATGGATAAACTGCTAGTAAAATGCATTTGATAATATCTTTATATGGATTGGCAGTCTATAAATATATCCCACTCAGGACAGATTCAAATCTGAAAAACCTGATATCAGAGGTGATTTAGAAAGTTCATGAGACAGCTATTCTCACACTAAATATTTGCACAGTGCCTGCCATTTGTTGCTTTATTCTGCAGTAGACCTTAAGCCTAATTTACTTTAAATGGAAATAAGAGGAGTAATGCCAGCACATTCTGTAATCCACCCTGTTCTGTATCTGCATTAAGTTGCTTTTCTATATAGTCATGATATCCTTATATGTTTTTTGGGGGGCATTTACATTAAAAAAAAAACCAAAACCCTCTAATGATTTATCATTCTTTTGAAATCAGTTGTTAATATCTCTGCCTTTGATTTGACCTTAAATTTTTGGAGGAGGGCTGTTTTATTCTTTCATAAATTAATCATGTGAAATGAAAAAAAAGGTCTCAGTTGATGCTTCAAATTGTCGCATTAAAATCACAGAATCATTTTTAAACCCCAGACATTTAACATGAAAATGTAAATAGGAACCTTGTTTTAAACTCCCCTTAATAAAAAGGATTACTGTGGTGCGATACAATCAATATTATTGGCCTTATCTGCCTCACAAGTTACAGACTTCAGCATGTATCTTTTCTGTTTAATTTGACCTTGAGTAAGGACCGCAAAAAAATCAATACTTCGCTTTAAGCCACATATAGTAAATACAAACAATATAAAGGATAGAAATGGTGCTCTAATTGAACTAATTACCTTGCCTAAGTATCTGAAGAGGAATTGTAGTGTTCAGTACTCCTGAAGGATGAAGTTCTCAATGAAATTGTGAATGTGTATATTTCAAACTCTTTTGTATGCTTATAATTCCTCACATTCTTTAAGGAAAAAGCCAGTGTGAAAAAAAATATAAAAAAAGCCATTAGTAAGCCGATGTTCAATACTTTTCAGAAACATTTTTTATTTTCACCTTAGAGAAAATTTCTGCCAACATCGTGAACATATATGATTCATAGCAGAGGGTTTTTTTGAAGTGTACCTGTTCATATATAGTACAACCATGCATATAGAATCTGATTTTATGAATCACATAGAAATGCGGCACAATTTGATTTAAAAATGTTGAGAGAGCTTATAGAAAGCTGATGGGGATTTGTATTGCTGTAGCCATATTATTTCATGGTCTTTCACGTTAGTGGAAGGGGAGAGAAGAGAGAGGATGGAGATGTTGTTGTAAGAGTGCACCAAGGAGTTGATGCTGGTTCTTAGTAATGGGTCATACATGGAGAAGCTTATGTGAATTGGTAGGAAAATGCAGAGACAACTGATGGAAAACATGAACTAGCAAGTGTTATTGCTGAAGAATATGTTCCTGTAAAGCTGCAACTCAACTTTTGTCCTCCTGGCAGAGCCCAAGCATAGTTCTCCACTGACCTGGAGACCATATTTTCTTGATAGTTCACCATTACACTCGCTTAACTTCCTTTGGACTGGCAAGAAAGATGCCTTGCACAAGCCAAGCTTTCCGAGCAATTGAAATCTAAATATAAAACTGGTGTCTTATCTCTCTGGTCCCAGTTGCCCAGCAGCCAGAAGAGGAGAAGCTAGTCACAGTAATGTTTTTCTGTAACGATGCAAAAGCTCCAAAATATGGAAGTGATGTTTTTCTTACATCTTTACATATTCTTCTGACAGTCCACAGTCTGTATGCTTTTAGGGCAATAGTAATTTTGAAGATATTTTGAAGATTTGTACTTCTGTGAGAGTTATTACATCATTCTGATCAAGTAGAGTATTTTGTCCTTGATGAAAAGGGACAGAATCCCCACAGAATGGGGAAAATGACCTGGCTAATGAGTCCCATATGTGGCAGTCCAGTAATCCTTTTTATATGCTGATCAACACTCTTCCTAAAACAAGTGAGGATTTTTGTCTTTTCTGACAGTCTTTCTCAGTCTCATTGATCAGGCAGTTTCAAATAATTTTCTGGTTTCTCTCATAATCATTGTCACTTTATACCTATTTGTTCCTGAGTTAGCAGTGTTATTTTACATATGCCTCCTTCCAGAGTTAATATTTCTGCTGAAGTCATGAGACCTAAAACTGCATTTTGCTAAGCTAAATGAGGTGGCTTTTCATCATAATTATGTGGAAACTTGAAAATAACCCTGCGAAGAACAGAGTCTGGCATGAAGGGTGAGGAACAATGATGATTTAAGTTAAATCCCCAGGTGCAGAATACACTGCGTTTGGCTTGTCTTCACCAGAGGTATTTAAATGCTAATAGTTTTTATGTCTGTGCTCCATCCTGGTGGATTCTGGACAACTAGCACTGCCCTCATGTGCCTGCAGGCACTCAGTACCTCTCATGATTCACCACTTCACTGCAGAATGATTGTTTATTTGATAATGTGTGGGGTTTTTTTTTAGATGCCCTGAAAGCCTTCGACCTGAAACTGTGAGACCTTGTCTGCTTCCCTGTAGAAAGGACTGTATTGTGACTCCATTCAGTGACTGGACAGCGTGTCCTTCTTCATGTCAAGAAGGTAATTTTATCCATTGTGTGGAGTTCGACCAGCGGTTGCTTTTGGCAGAATGGTTATACATATCCCTTTGTGACAGAGGGCATGTAATACCTGGTACAGCAGCTGCCAGGAGGACAAAAAGTTTTTGATAAAAAGAATTTTTTTCTATACATTTTCTATATGCATCTACTTATAGATTTTTTTTTCTCCCCAGTTTTACCTAACGTTACAAACTTCCATTTGCATCTTACACTGATAAAGAGATAACTAGTCATGGAGTAAACACATATCTCTTAATGTAACACCAAAACAGATACTCCTACAATTGTAGCATTTTAATTGTCAGATTATAAAATTGACAGGTTTGGGTTTTGGAAATCCTTAAGCTTAGGCTGCTTGCTCATGAGAAAAAAACTGAGACTTTATGTACCAGGAGAAAAGTAGGTAGATAAGTAGACATGCAATTGTGTGTAATTTTGGCTGGCTGCTTCTACTCCAAGGAAAACTGAAGGAAAGTTAATAACAATTAGCAGACTTTACACTGATGGTAGTGGTCTGATTTAAGCATATAATCCAATACCATTTTATTATACTTGTCAAAGCTCTTAAAAACAGTGCAGGTCTCCCCTAAATTCTTATTACATTGAAATCATACATGAAGTTGAGACATGAAGTCACTCATGAAGAGTGATGACAGGCTTAAGATTAGCCACATTTTTATGCCTTATTTCTTTTTTTAAGCTTAACAGGAGTTGTTTTTTCTAATATGTACTATTATAGACAGACTCTGTAATATACCCTGTTCCACAGGGTGCTAATCCCTGTGTGGGATGTGGTGATTACTCACAGCTACCAGATTATCAGAATGTAAGGTACAGTTATATCAAACATGCAGACTTGGACTGCCATGGCCAATTCTATATGCTTAATAAAGGACACAGGCATAAAGGCATTTTTGCAGTAACTCCTATTACTGTTTAACAAAGGAAAAAAAAAGGGTTAGAAAGACTTAAATTCATAACCTTTGAAAAAGAGCAGAGAATTTAAACCATTAAATCTTAAACTATGAAATAGTTATTAGTCATTAAATACTGTGTTATTTTGCAGTAGTATTAATTGTTCTTTCTGAAATATTTTTGTTAGATCAGATCATCTTGGATAAAAATACCATCCTTTCCTATTCTCATTTATGCAAGTTTCAAGGAAGTTCTTGATGCAAGAACAAATATTCACAAATATTTACTACCAACTAGCATGTAGACTTCTATTAAACAGTATATTTGTGACCTACTACAGGCATCTTGTCTATTCAGTGGTTGAACTCTTTTTATACTACACAACAATTTTTATTTCATGGGGTTTACCCATTAATGTCAGCAAGCTGGTCAGTAGCTTTGCTGGGCTGCATGTCTGTCTTGTCCCTTGTGACAGCTCTTGGCATCTCCTGGAGCTGTTTGACTTGGGAGTGAAGGGTTTCCTATGTGCTGAACAGCAGCCAGGTGGTGGAGAGCCACCACCGGGATTCTCCTACTGCTTGCTCCTAATTACAATTCCTTGGCTGTGGTCCAGCACGCTTCTGTGTTCAGACAAGCTGCAGCTGCTGTAATAACCCACCCAAAGCTGATATCAACCGAGTCAGCCAAATGTCTGCTCTACTGCTCATTGGCAAAAAAAAAAAAAAAGTTCAAGATTTTTACCTAACAGTATTTCTGTATTAGGCATTGCTGTGGAACTAATACAGATCTGTAGCTTTTCTCTTAATTTTCTGCCTGAAGAACTGATACCTGAAGATGACTGAAATCAAAATTCCTGTAGAAACTATTTGCTGTTTATCATTAATAATGAATGACTATAATAATTAAAAACTATAAATTATAAAGGAATTCTAGAGTGGAATTTCTGTCTTTGGTTTTAAATGCAAATTATTAGGTCAAGCTTATACCTTCAAACTGGAAAGTGTAGCAGCAAAGTGAGATGGTTTAATTTTTGACTTGAACTGTGTATTCATTTCATCTGTCTGTTCATTTGTTCAGTCACTATTGCTGCTTTTGCTTTATGTTTAGTTCTGCTTGTTGACCTCTAGCTGAAACTAAAGTATTTTTTCTATTAGCTTTAATTTTTCTGCTTATGGGCAAAATAGCATGTCGATATTATGGCAATCAGTTCAAATACCTGTTAAGTTCTGTTTTCCCCCTAATTACTGTCATCCCTGTACAGTAGCAGGAGAAACAAGCTCTTGTACTCTCTGCAGGGGATGTCACAGTAAGGAAGCAATCCCGTCACCGAGTCATCATCCAGCTCCCTGCCAACGGTGGTCGAGAATGCCCAGACTCTTTGTTTGAGGAAAGGGAATGTGAAGCTTCTCCTGTCTGCCATAGCTACAGGTATGAGAGACAATCAACCAGAAATAGCTTAGACATGATTTTTCAACTTGTACTACCTCTAAAGTTTGCTGAACTCCACTTCTTAACAGGAGGTTCCTTTATAACATGTACTATTTAGAAAAAAAGAATATATATCTAAATCAAGGTTTCAGAACAGATATGTAGACTCAGTTGAGCCCATAGTGAATCACTCTTTCATTTTATTCCAGTTCCTTTGCAGGAATATTGTAACAACTAAAAATTACTTTTCAGGATAAATTTTTCCTAGAATCTGTTTTGGCATTGTATACATGTAAAAAAAAGCTATCTTTCTAAATTCCAAAGCACTGAACAGCATCCTTATCTGTTTAGGAGAGTGTAGGAGCAGCCACCTGGATGGTAAAAGAAGAAGAAAATACTAAAGCAAAAATATTGTGGTCCTGAGATAGCCAGAGATAATATTAGTGTGCGTGTGAAAAGAATCACAGGGTCGAGCTGGAAAGCTGCTAGGAGCATGGTTGTTCTCTGTGGCTGGAAGCAGTCACATGGGTGTGTGTGGTATGTGGGTAGATAAAGAAACATTTACCTGGCTGGATAGCTCAGCCCTAGGGTGAGTAGAGTCTGTATATAGGTATGGAGTAATAAAGTTACAAGAGAGTCCTTCCTGGACAAAAGTCTGTCCTGCTTGAATTCATTCACCACAAAGGCTGCAGAGTGAGATATTTTTTCTGCAGGAGAGCTAAGTTCTGGTGCCACACTCTGCCACCCACTGTATCCTTCATCTTTCTATTGCTGTAAGCCCTGAGACGGTCCAGAATTGAGCATATCCCCATATTCCCTATGTCCTCTGAGTTGCCCTAATCTTCACCACAGAATATTGAGGACTATTCCAGTAGGTGGGGATCTCCACCATCAAAGGTTAAGAAAATCTGTGGGTAGGTCTGTATAATCCATCAAAGTGGTGTGGGAAGGTCTAGTCACACAACAAGATCTGGCTGTTGATACAGATAAAGTTTAGAAAATTCTGATGCAGCTATTTAGATTTACTTGACAAAACAATAAAAAGATTTTTTTGTTTTGTTTTATGAAACTGCTCTCTGTTGCAGAGGTACAAATAAAATTTAAGCTTACAGTGAACAGCTGATGTGCTCCAAACATCAGAGAAATAGAGCTCAAGAACTTTCTCTAGTCAAAATGAGTCAGAGTTTTATTTTTTAAAATGCTGGGTGCTTCTCATCTCTTCAGTATGTTCAGTATCTGAACTGCATGATAATGTGCTGAGCAGAAGAAAGAAGAGTTGCTAGAGAGTGGTAGATGAGGTCATTTATATTTCATGACATGAACTAATACTGAACACATGTTCTGTATATTTCTTTTAGTGTTTTTCTGACCTACACACATGCTGCAGCAGATGGACTCACACACTCAGCTGGCTCATGCCTTACTTCAGTTACTGTCCCATAGAGGCAAGTTGCAGTGAAACTTGAGGTGCAAAACCACTGAGATAGTTTAAAATATGCAAACTGCTGATGATAGGGGCTGCAGACAACTGTGGATTATTTTAGAGCTGTGACAACAAATAGACCTGCCTGGATTTGTTATATTTAAGGCCTAGGGTATTCTGCAGTGTCAGCAGGGAACTTTATAAAAGTTTCATAGCAGATAATGATAGAATCATTTTAACAGCACAATATTGTCTTTGGTTTTAACATTTTTTCAAGGTTTCTTGTTTTTTGCTGTTTGGTTTTTTTTGTTCATTTGGTTTATTTTTTGTTTATGTTTTGCTTTGATATGGTATGGGCTCATACTCACATTGTGTTGGATTTCTTGGGTGACTCCACATTTATGAGGTCATATCATTTGGCAACCCAAGATCCCAGGAATTGCCAGAGGCACCCTTACAGTCATTCAAGCCCATTGTCCCAGTACCTCACTGTAGCTGTTTCTTTTTGCTTCTTATTTATTCTTTTGGAATAGCATTTGGCAAATGAAACTTAGCAAAGGAATTTGTTTGTTGTGACAACTTTATTCTTGTAATCATACCCTTTGAAATTTGAGAAAACGAAATAAAAATCCTAAAACTTTGTTCATCCTACCCTAATCTTTGTAGCCCCAAGATTTCTTTATGCTCGAGCAAAGCAGAATTGCTCCATTTACTGTTACGTTGCAAAGCATACCTAAGGGAGTGGGGGAAGAAAAGACCTGGGGAAAAGAAAAGAAGGAAAAGATAAAGAAATTCACTTTTCATGTTACAGTATTTACTGCCAAAAAACAATTCCAGTGTTGCCTTAATCAGAAATCAATCCTGGAGTCTTATCACTGGAATGTATTTGGGAAACTTCAACACATCTTTGCTTCATATAAGTGGAAAACAGACTGGAAGAAAAAGAAAGTGGGAAAGAGGGGAGGTTTATTAGGATGTGGTAGTGTTTAAAATTATTCCTTACTTAATGGGTCAAAGTTGGTTTTATGAGATGCTAGTGTCCCTTCGCTAAGTCCACTTTTCAAATTTTAGCATGCCATCTTGTTGATTTATAAAATACTCTGAGCATGCTCAGATATAAATCCATAGCAAAGGAGTTCTTCTATTAAATGGATATTCAATTCATATGATTTTATTGTTCTGTATAGTTTTCTTTTTTAAAATTTCTTTCTCATGTCTTTTATAACTACGTTAGTGCTTTGTGTTAATGTATTCAGTGTGTATTTGTTAGGTAATGTTAATGTACCTTTGTTATTCGAAATCCTTGAAAATATATCCAGTTTACTCTTTCTTACCTCCTTTACCTCTGCCGTTCTTCACTATGTTCTTAGTGGCGTCATCCTAAAAGGAGAAAAGAAGTTAACAGAAATAGGGATAAGCTTATGGTATCGTTACTATTTTTTGTGAATTGTCTGTGACCAGTTAGTAATAGCAAGCAACAGCTTATGGTAGTTTCTATCACTGTCTAGCACTTTGTGCTGCCTCAGGTTAGATGACTACAAGTTTAGATGGATTGTTTGAAGCTGATTATTTCCCTTCTCATTTCAGGTGGAAAACCCACAAATGGCGCAGGTGCCAGCTCGTACCATGGTATGTGCGCCAAGACAGTCCAGGAGCACATGAGACTTGTGGACCTGGGCTACAAGCAAGAGGTTGGACCTTTTCTTTTTGTCATTTATTCCTCAGAAATCTATAGCTGCACTGATGTGGAAAATGCCTAAAATTTTAGTCATTATACCCTAATATTAATTTGTCTGTGTTCATCAGCAAAGGAAAATACTGAATGCTAGTATGGCAGGGTGCATCACAACTGATATTTAGCAAATATTTCACTCATAAAATGTCAGTGTTGATTTATTTTGAAGTATAGATACCACATTAGTCACTTATTTTCTGGTATTTTTTTGTTCAGGTTTTTTCACCATCCTTACTTGAATCAAGTTTTCATAAGTGTTTGTAGAAAGTATGTTTTCAAAAAGAAGAAGAAAAGGATAGGTGACTTTACATGCTTCTTTTTGTAGAAAAGGTTGTGTAAATTCACCTGTGAAAATGTGACATTTTTCGTGTGTTTATGGATATATCCATTAGACAGAATAAAAGGCTTTTGCACCCTGTAAGTGTTTGTTGAAAGTTTAGGGTTGGAGAACCCTACAATAATTTTCATCTGAGAGGAAATTCTGGAAGTCCCTTGATCCAGCCCTCTAGCCAGAGCAGTGCCAGTTGCAAAGTTGAATCCCACCCAGAACTAGAACAGATTGCTCAGAGCCATATTTCAGTGTGTTTGGAGAATCTACCAGCATGGAGATCCTACAGCCTCTCTGGCACTCGTTCCCTGATGCAAATTGTGTCTGTGACCCCTTACCCTTTCCCTGTATATCTCTGGGAACAGTTTGATTATCTCTTCTCTATGTCCTCAAATTAAAGTAGTTGCAGAGAACAGGAGCATTACAGATGCAGGACTTTGCATTTATACTACTAAAGTTCAGTGCCAGCCCATTTCTATAGGCTGTTAAGGTCCTTTGAATGGCAGCCCAACCTTCCAGGTAGGTACTGACTATTCAGACTGGCATCATCCTCAAACTTGCTGAGGATGCTTTCTGTACAGATTGTTAAAGAAGCTAAACAGAATTGTCCCTGGAATTAACCACTGAGGTGCAAGGCTCTAAACCAGGGGATGGCTGGGCTTTGAAACCACTGACCCTCTGAGCTCAATGATCCAGACATTTTTGCACCATTTCCATTAAACAGCAAATAATTTTTGCATCCAGATACAGCTTTACTCTCACCTGTTTTCATGGAGAGTGTTGCAGTTTTAACAGAATTGTGTAGGTGTGATTCTGTTAAATACAGTCGGGAGAAGGGTTTTTAAGGTGCATTAAATAAATTCAATATGAAAATAATTGCAATTCCTGCTTACTGTGTAACAGTAATTGAATTGCTTTGAACTACTAGTCAACCTTGAATTCCAGGAAGGTTTTTCTCTGCCAGTTTTTGAGTACAAACTCCTATCTATTAAAGCACTATTGGCTCAGCAGATTGTAGCATTCCTGGGCAAGGACACTGCTAACTGCAGAAGTGAAATGTTCAGGTCATTAACTTCCTTGCAGTATTAAAGGAGGTTATGGTATACTTTAAAAAGTCATAGAGTAAATCTTAAGCTAGTAGCTCCTATCGCTTACTAAGGAAGTGTTACAGGAGATCAATTTAGGGCTTACCACAAAATGAAACCTGAAGGCATTGCCTGCTAACACAAAAGACTTCTGGCTGTGGTAATTATTTCAAAGGTCTATCACAATACAATCTATTTCTAGCAGCTCTGGAGGATACATTCAAATTGCACACTGAGGAAATAAGATTTCTGTGTTTGACAGAAGGTAGGAGTTCTGATAGTATGAAGTGGTGTCTCCTGTACTTGCATGGTAATACCAAAATCTCTTGACTTTGCCTCAAAGCCAGTTAATAAGGAAAGATTGCTAATTATAGTGAGTGCAGATTGGGTTTTATTATTCCTATGTGTCATAAGAGTTTCTCTTTTTAAAATTTAACTCAAATCGTGTGCAGGGCACACACATATGGAATAATACATGATTTTGGAAATACTGGGCATGCAGTTTTCAAATCTGGTAGAACAGTCTGTCCGAATTTCTCTTTGGTACTACACAGAGTTCGATCTTGTGAAAGATGATGTATTCAAACAGTAATCTTGTTCCTACAAGCAAGTATAATGGAAGTAGCTCTCTAGTGTAATGTGACAAAGTGGTAGGATGGATAATCGTTCATTAGGAACCCCTGGTGCAGCTAAGCCTGAAGAAAGCAGGTGGTTTTGATACAATTCTGTGAATAATTCTGAGATAAACCATTAGAAAGGCATATTTTGTTTGCTCCTGTTTTTTTTTTTAATGTAATGTATACATTATATAATGTATACATATAAATATATAAATAATATATACATTTTATTGTAGAATTCACAGTGCAAGTTATTCAGTTGGGCAACCAAAGTTCATTTGTACTGCAGTCCAAATATCTAAATATGAATCTAAATATTGTTTAGGCTGTTGCAGTGGTGAATGTTATAGGGACACTTAAAGACAGAGTTTTTTTGGCCCAATATTTTTCACATTTATGTAAGTGGCGAAAATTAAAATCTTAAGTTTCAAACACAGGTATATTATGTATTGAGTCTGAGTGCTTTAATACCTCACAATGTGTTGAGTATATCTTTTACGTTTGTTCTCAGTAATGTAAACTGATAGCCTGAAGGAGCTAAATAAACTAGTACAGCTTTTCCTTAGATTGAGACAAATAAAATATTTTACCTTTACAATGAATATGATTTGGAAGTAAAAGTTGAATTTTTGCAAAAAAGTAAATTTCATTTTGGAAAACAAATTCTAGAGATTATCAGTTGAAGTTTATTCACTTCTCCCATCAGATAATTGCATTTTGAACATGAATAGTGTGCTTTGTTTGTTTAATGTAGTTTATCTCCTACACAGGGCATCAACATTCCCTTTTGCCTTTTACATTCCAAATTCTACTATGAAAATTGTGATGTGAGAATTTTTAGTGATACACATTGTTTTGTTTGATCCCCTGAACAAGAGTTGATTTCATGCAAAGTGCTATATGAAGGGAGACTGACCTGAGAGCAGGCATCTGTCTGACTGAGCTCTGCCCTGGATAGTGTTTAGAAAGATTTCACCAGTTTCTGAAGAAAGGCTTTGGAAGAGGTTTTATTCCCTCTCTCTGCTAATTTATGTATCCCTCCTGCATACTTGACTTCTCATAAGTAAAGTTTCTACAGGCCATGAAAAACTTTGATTGATAATATATCATTAAAAAAATCTGTACCATAAATTATTTATTTGAGGAATATTTTGTGATGTAGATATAGAAAAGGCTGAGCTACTACTGTGCAAGTCCTTTTAACCACCACAAAACCAGGAAATGCTAAACACTGAAATATCCATTTGGTATAACATTCTGATACTGCATTTGTAATTGCTACTGGAATACAGATATTTTGAACAGTACATTTAACTGTTTGTTGGTGATTTCTATAAAAATGTTGACCAAATTGTTGACCTAGTAGCATTTCTTATTCAATAGAGAAAGAGTTCTCTTTCAAATTTCTGGCACTCATGAATGCAAAAATCACACATTCATTCATCTGTTCATGCTGATTTACTTTTGATGACAAAGTGAAACAATAACCTTATAGAAGTAATCTCTGCCCTTTGATATCCTGTGCATTTGTCCTTTCATTTTATGTTGATACTTGGTAGAGCAAGTAATTGCATTCTCGTAAGTAGGAAAAGTTCTCAGTTCTTCTTTTTCAGTGCTAAGGGATGTTGCCATTGCTATCAGCTTGTCCTATTTCTGGTCTGATGGCCCACGCACAAACACTGTAACACGCATATCAGAAAATGTGTTAAATAAGGAAGAATAGGAATGTACAACAGGGAAAAGGCATATCTGACCACGCATTCATTAGCAGTTTATTCTGAACAAAATAGTCTGTTACTGTTAATATTTTAGTTAGAAAGATAATTAAATCTGAAGAAAAAAGCAAAACTTAGAAATCATTAAAATTGACTCATTAGATCTTAAGTGTGTAACTAGACCATATGCATACTTTGCTTCATATCACAGCTTTACTATTTACACTTCCATTCTTCAGCTTTTTTATCACATTTGGTCTTTCTTGGCAGAAGAGATACTTGGGTGAATCATAAAATTTAGAATTCTGATTCATTCTTAAAGACAGCTCTGTTTCTATCTGTCTTGTATAATGAAGCTTTTGTTACAAATCACGTCAGTTTAAATGAATGTCACAAAACTGTAACTTGGGTCAAAGCAGAGGAAAGAGAATAAAAAAGGTTTGGTGGTTTCTGGGTCTTGTTTTAAAAAAAGAATTTCTTTAAAATTTTTTAGAAAAACATGTTTGTTAGCTATTCATGCAAATAATATCTAATCCTAAGCATAGTAACATAGCATTTAATCACATCATGATGTATATGGATGGATGCACATGGTAAGGCCTATCCCAGTGACCAAAAGAGATTTGCAGAAGGATGTACAACCTGCAGTCCTTGACACCATGAATCTTCCTCAGAGTTTTGTAGGAGGAATGGGATGAAAATTGTGAAATCTGTCAACATATTCTGTAATAGCAAGAGGAAGGTTATTTGTAAATTTAAGCAGAAGTTAAAGTAATCTGGCTGTCAAAGAAAATACCTGGATAGCTGTACTTGATGTCACTGGGAACTGGCCTTTATTAAAGACCTGATCCCGAGTTCTTGTAATTCTTCACTCGCAGGGTGTCTGTAGAGTTACTTGAAAGACTGGGAATGGGAGGAAGCTTCTCAGGATGGCCATGAGCACACACAGAGGCCTTGCAGGCTTGTTTGTGCCACAGGAAGGCTTGGAGGCAGAACCAGTGGTGAAAAGCCCTTTTTCCCTCTAGTTAAGCAGGGACAGCTGCCTCTCTCTTTGGGCATTGCCTATGAAGGTGGGGGAATTTGCTCTTGTGGAGGTTTCATGCCCTTAGTGAAAGCACAGGAAAGAAGACAAAATCATGAATTTGAGAAGAGTGCTGCTCTTCATGGATCCATAAACTACTATTTTAGAGTTGTTAAGACTTAACAAA